TCTACACTTGCCCGATCTTAAACCATTACCATCACCGTATGAAAAACCCTTGAAGTCTTTTCCTTAAAACCTCAAAGTCATGGAAATCTTTTCCTTTAAAATCATTCCGATTGCTATCGGATAATCATGACATAAAACATATTTCCATAACTTAAAATATTATTTATGAGCTAAGCATGCGTATGTAATTGCAATGAGCCAACATGTTGTATGAATTCATAAATACTTATTTTTAATGATTATGTAACTAAGTCATAAGAATCGATATAAAATTGAGCAAGCATAACAAGTATAGATAACATCAATTCAATATAAACCAACACCACCATCATTGGCACATCAATCATCATAACTCAATTCTCATCATCAATCACATTCATGAATAACCATTATTCATAACATAATGCATTCATATAGCATTTGAAGGAACATAATCATAACATAAAGGAAGATGAACATTTTTGTTCAATTTCTTTGTTCCTTAAACTTACCTTTCACTTTACTTTCCTAAATTCTTTTCCTTAGGTTCTTAATTATCTTTCCATATTTGGTCTTTATCAAATTAAGTATCATTTCATGTTTCACCTAACTAGGTATTATTTCATTGATTTAGAAGGTTCAATTTCAGTTTGAGCATTAATAGGCCTAAGGCCCAATTTTTCCTAACCCAATTTTTCTTAAAATTTTTATGAGCCATTTTCATTATAAATCATCTTTTTTTTTTTTTTTATGTGTTTTGAGTCTGAATCATCAAATTTAAGGTTTAAAACTTGGTTTAAACCTAATTCTCTAAAATTCCCATTTAGGCCTAATATTTCATCATTTAAATTCCTAAAATTTTCTTCTCATTTTTCTCTACCATTTTAATAACAAGTATCTTAACTATGTACTCACTATAAGAGTTAATTGAATTAAAATTTAGAACACTAAGTTACGCCCAAACCCGTATTAGGCCCTAATGGGCCAAAATTAGGCCCAAGCCCATATAACCCATTTTCTTCAATTTTTAGCAAAATTTTCATTTCTACTCATCAAAACATGCTTATTCAATTGTGAATGAACTATCAAACCAGAATCAAATTACTTTGAACTCAAACCCTAATTTGCTTAGTTTAGGCTAAATATAATTCCTAAAAATTAGTGGATTTTTCTTCAATTAAAGTGTAATTTTTCATTCCTAAATATTAATTCATACTCAAATAAGTCAGAATCAAGTGCCAAAACACCAATTAAGTGAAAGAATTCAAAACCCCCAAATTTGGTTCAGCAAGAACCATAACTCTAAATTTTCTTAATTGAGCAATTAAACATGAAATTGACTTGAAATTAAGCATAATTATGGTGTAGGTGAGGTTAACGTACTTGATTTAGCTTTAAATTAACCTTGAAAGGGTAGGTTGCTTAACAATTCTCTTCCTCTCCTTTTTTCTCCTAAATTTGAATTAGCTCTTTTAATTTTCTTCTTGAAGGTATTCAGCTCCCAACTTAAAATTAAAGCTTAATCCATTGATTTAGAGGGTCTAAAATTGGTTAGGATTATTTTGGGTAATTTTTGAGTGAAAATTTTGCTAGAGTTTCCTTTGTGTTTTTCAATTTTCCTTTCCTTTTTAATTTTTTCAGAACCCTTATTTATACAAAAATTTTGTAGACTTTTTGAACTTATCTCACCCTTAATTTGGGTAAATCTCAGCCTTTAATTCAAGTTTCAATCAATTCTTTTTATTTGGCTAAATTTTTGGCCATTTGTTCTTCTTTTTGTTTAAGCCTTCCATTTAGGTTAATTGTAGCCACAAAATTTACTAGAAGTCAAACTTAATTAATACTTTATTCAGCCAAAGTTGGAAGGAAAATGAAAAATTTTGGTCCTCCAAGTTTCTAGACTTTTCTATAGCCTATTCTTTCCTAAATCCCTCTTTTATGCAAAACTCACTTCTAATCCTCCCTTTTCCATTTCTAGAACTAATTTTTGACTCTTAATATTCCTACATAATTTAATTTGGATTATTAGACTTTTAATTTTATGCAATTTAGTCCTTAATTTTAGATAATTTAGTCCCTACTTTTAAAATTTCATTCTAAACGTTTCAAAAATCCAATTTATTTCCATAATAAATTCAAATATTAATTAAGGGAGCTTGATGTAAATTTTCATAATTTTTGGCTCTCATTTGGGCCTCTAATTTATTTATTTAGTGTGAAAATTACACTATTTTCTATTAAAAATATTCCCTATACTTATTAAAATTAATTTAAATTTTCTAGGCACTCTCACACATCCCATATAATTATTCTATGCTCTTAAAAAAAATTCCTCATACTCTTAAGGTGCCTAATTAAATTCTTTACCTCTAAAAATACTATTCAAATATACCAAAATTCAAATAAAAGATTCATAGCACATAATAAAATTCACCCAAGCACATAAAATAATTTAACACCCCTCTAAAAATTATGCTAGCACACAAATTATTTTTCATTCATAAAAAACATGTTATAATTAAGTATTTCATGCAAAAACTACTATTCATGTATCGTAAAATCAATAAAATATCTCTTAAGCATAGAAAAACTATTTTAACTATTATATATATTCATTGAAGTTCCTAAGGTTTATTTCACACCCTTCAAATATGTTTCCCTTGTGTTTAATATTAAATTTTTATTTAATTTCAATTTCAAGTAGTACCGATTATTACATATAATATATAAGTATTTAATATTTTTTACATTTGATGTTTTGTTATGATATCCATTTAGACTAATATCTTTGAAACTCAATAAATTTCTATGAGACTTTAGAGAGAATAATGCATTATTTACTATTAAATTGGGATAATGTAAATTAAAATGATGTTTAAGGTGATAAAGGATTTGAGAATTATAGATTAGATATTCGAGGCTTGCTTGAGTCGAGGTGGGCCTCATGGTTCCCTCAATTCTTGCATCAATCATGGCCCACTCTTAGGGTCGTGATAAAAAACACATTAAAAAATTAGGACTTTTAGGTTTTTTAAGTGAAATTTAAACTTTGAAAAAAAAAACTCAAATTTTTAATGTTGATTTTTTAGGAGAATTTCATTGTTTATGCTTTAATTTGTTATTTTGAGCAAAACCCATTAAAAATTAAGGTTTAATCAAGATGGATCTAGGTCTTTATTTTCTAATGGTAGTGAAGATGGGTTTTTTTTAGATTCTAACCAGGATTTAGTTGTTCTTGTTGATGACGCTGAATTTCTATTTTTAGTTCTTGGAAATTATGAGGTTTTAGATCTAGAAATCTAGTTTGTAGAGAAAGTTCATATTTGTGGGGGAATTCGGTGCTTTAGATATCAAAAGACCATCCCGTTTAAGTTTGTTTGCTATTTTAAAGAGTATTTTGATGGTTCATATGCTAAGTGACTTGTTATTTTTTGTTGTCAATATACATGTTATTTGTTGTTACTCGGATGTGGATTTGATAAAAGATTTGGACTAAATATGTTTGGCTTGTATTAATGCAACTTGAAAATTTTGAATGATAATTGGAGGATGGAAAGATAGGAAAAAAATTGGTGTTTAGTTTTTCTATGTGTGTAACTTTAGCAAATGCATCCGATTTGTTGGTCTTGGATTTCAACCAAGCATGAAATGCAACAAAAATGAGGCCATCAAAACGAAGGATATTATAGATAGGAAATTGCAAAATGGTGACTTTGAAAGGACAAGCAAGATTGCATTGAAGGCGCAACAACTCTATCTTAAACTAGAGAATATTTCTCAAATGTTGGTAATCTTTAAGGTTCATTGTTCTACACAAAAATTAAATGAGTCAAATATTGATTGGTATGGAATTCTTTAGATTTAGTGCTCTTCTAAGGAGGCAATTGTCAATAAGTAATACGAAAAGTTTGGGCTCTTGCTTCATCTTGACAAGAATAAGTTTGTTGGTACAAAAGTAGCTTTTAAGTTGATTGGTGAAGCACATAAGGTGCTCATGTAGGGAACTTTACTGGAGAGTTCTTACTTTCTTGTATGACTCGAATCTTTTATTGTTTTGAAATACTTGAAATATTAAGTATTTTGATTTACAATTTTTTGAGTTTTGATATAAATTTGGATGTTTGAAATTGGGTTTTGGGTATTTAATCACTAGATTTGGATGTTTTGAATTGAATTTTTGGTGTTTTGTATTAGATTTTTAATATTGTGTTGAATTTAATTGTTTTGAATTGACTCTTTTTCTCTTTTTTTAGACTAAATGCTTTAAAGGATACCATGGCATTGAAAAAAAATAATGGTAAACTTGTAATAATTTGAATATTTTTCTATTCGAAAATTTGACATTAAAAACGGAATCATAATATAATGAGAAATTTTATAATACCGAAGGAGTAACTAGTGACATGTATAGTAGTTACTCCATAGATCCACTTGGAGAAAAGAGATAGACACAAAAAATGAGAGAGAATTAAAAAAAAAATGTAAACGAATATGGAAATCTTCTTATTACTTTCGGTGGATCCGAATATAATTTTATGTTTATCTCTTTCTTCTAAGTGGATCCATGAAGTAACTACTTTTCATGTCACTAGTTACTTCTTCGATATTATAAAATTTTTCATAACACAAATTATTTTTTGAAATAAATTTTAAAATTATAAAATTTAAAATATAATTTTAAAAAACTAAAGGTGCGGAATATTTCTGTCAGCTAACTACATGGTGTTTTCGTAATTTACACCAAATGAAAATGGAGAAATATCAAAAAGTATAAGGAATGGCTAAAATGCCATGCTCGTAGTAATTTTAAGTGGCAGCCCAACTCAGTAGTCTAAAGCTATGGGCTTGGTTAAATTTTTATATGAAACTTGAATTGGGTGGGTCTTTGAAGCCCATGAAACCTCTCCCAAAACCCTATCAAACCCGACTCGACGCTTGTCCCTGAAAAGAACTAAGCAAAATAACACAGAAGAGAGTCTCTGAACTAAGAAGAGGAGGTTGCAAACGAAGCAAGAGAAAGCATGAGTTTGCAGAGAAAGCAAATAATAGCATCAGCTCTTAGCAAGTATCTCTCTGTATCTCCTGTAAGCTCTTAAACAACAATCGCCTTTCAATGACTTGTATATTTCTGTGATCTCTGTTTTTAATTATACTTTAAATTTTGATTACCGTGTGGATAATTGGTGATCAAGAAAACACTTTACGATTCTTTAGATTACTCTGTACTAATTTTTTTCTTCTGGATATTTTGAAAGGAAGGTCCTTGGCTTGGAATGGTAATGTTTTGCTCTTTCCGAAGCCCAATTTTTTTTTTTTTTTTTTTTTTTTTTTTTTTTTTTTTGAATTTGACACATATTGTGCATGCCCGTTTACTTGTGGTATGACTCTAGCTTGAAAAATACTCGTTAAGTTTTCTATGTATTGTCTTGACCATGCATCCTGTTATTGTTTTTCATTTCTTATACATTTGGTCAAATTTTCATCATATTTGCAGCATCTGTTTTATTTTTCGTGTGTTTGGTAGTGATTCTTAAATTTTTTTTTAAAAAAAACTTGAAAATCAAATGCAAGGATGATGCCTGAAAGTGTCATTGCTTCTTTCAATTCATTGGTGAATTGCATGGCCGTTATGCTTGTCTGTACTAGTGGATTTTTAGTAGATATCTTGAAATTGTTGAATTTTGGGAGTGAGTTTATTTGATAGTTAATTATCTACACTCGAATATTTAATTAATGCAGGAAGCTTCTTTAGGTGATGTTGGAGAGTATGATATTAAGAGTTTGTACTTAAACATTTTGAAGTCATCAGGAAAAGGGTCCCCATCAAAAGAAAGTGAGGAGGTAAGGTTTATTTCGTTTGTTATGTGTATTGCGGTTGCTCTACCATGTAATTTTGCTCAGATTCTTGATCTAAAAAAGAACAGCTTGTTATAGGTGATGAAATGGATAAGCTTTGCAGAGACTTTTCCTGTAGATTCTCTGGCATGCTTTGATGCTCTCAATGGATTGAATGAAGACTTGGCTCTGAAATCTGTGGTTTTGGGCAATGGATTGACACCCTCTGAAGCTGATATTGTAGTGTTTTCAGTAATAAATTCATCTGTGGTATGCATTGTGTCCTTTTGTGTTATAAATTATCCTTCTACATTCACTGTCCCAGTCTCTAATCATGAAGTTTCTATATACAAATTTTCTTCCAGTATGAATTTTCATTTTTTCCATCTCTATTGAAACACCTTTGTGTGGCGAGCTTGAATGCTTTCATGAATCACTCGCATCCTTTGTGCTTTGCTCAAAATTGTTTTGGTTGCCCTCTTTTTATGGATTAATTGCCTCTCAAATCTGAAGGGGGCAGGGGGTGCTCAAAGTTCAAACTTCAGAGCAGCAGAGTCATGAAATATCTGTTATTTTTTCCTTTACAAAAGTTTTTATAATACGATAAACACTTAAGTGACATGTTTGAAATTCTTCTGAATTTTGATTGGTTACTTACTGCCAGATTGGCCTTTCGCATTTAGAGAAGGAAAAGTTGGTACATGTGATGAGATGGATGGATTACATCCAGGTAAGGTCATATTCATATTTTCAAATGTCATTAAAGTTGGGTGGTGACTGTGTAATTAAAGAAATTTTCTTAGATACTATTTGTTGATACGAGGTGAACTACTTTCATTGGCACCAGTTAGGTGATATAACTATTGAGAGCTGCTTTGATTCCAACTCATTACTATGTCATGTGTGATGAGCTTCTGTCTGATTTCATTGTCTCTGCCAGACATGACAGCTTATTGATTCAAGTAGACATTTTTCTTTTGGCATGTAAATGATTTGGTGTGTCAAAGCCTCAAATACTTGCAGTTCGACATTGACTACTCCTATCACTATACAAATGTATTTACCGTTCAATAACTTTATGATGGGGGGTCAAGTGTTGGCTTTTGGCATGCAATTGACAAACCTAGATTTGGCTGATAGAAAGAACAGTGATTACTTTTTAGGGAAAAATGTTGTTTCTTCTCAATTTTGTCAGGACTTGAGTCTGCATATTCACACCTGGCAGCTGAAGTTGTACAATTGCACTAGAATAAAAGGCCCTCAAATTTTCTTGTATGTAAAATATTGCTAGTTACTTGATTTCTTTTGTTTTTGCAGAACAAGGTAGACTTTGGGAAACTATTTGAAAAAATTTTGCTAGAAAAGGCTGCATTCGAACTGCAGGTAAGTTATCCTGATATCAATATACTTCATCTGTTCATTTTTTTGAACTGATTTTTCAAATAGAGGCGAGTAGGTTTAAGGGGTCAAGAGAAATTGATATATATGGATGGTGTTCGGAATTTGATATTTGCTTGTTGCTTGCTTTGCTTAAACATTGGACATATCAAGTCAAAAGTTTTAGGAAAGGACAGTTCATCTACTCTTAACATTTTATTTAATATTATAAATGATATACTTGTGCTTCTTATTGTTGCATTTGTTGTTTCAATTTTTTTTTGTTTGTTTAATTTGCTATGATTGTGTAATTTGTACCCTCACCTGTCATCTCTTGTTTGGAAATTTGAATTTTTTCATCCAGATTGATTTAGAGCATCTAGTGGCTTAGTTCTCTACATTCTTGATTTAATTCTAGTTTCAGGGGATAAAAGGTGCAGCTAAATCGGAAGTAGATACAAATGCAAAAAAGACTGTGGAATACACTAAGAACAAGGAAAAATCAGAAGCAGACCCAAGTACGAAGAAAAGTGATGTTGGGGTATACCATTTTCCAACCTTTTCCTCCTTTCATCAATGCGTGTTAATAATGTTATACAACCTTTTCTTTTTCAGTAAGGCAGTAGTTTTACTGTTTTTCCTATACTCTACTCTGTCTTGTCATTATGAAGAATCCCGTGGAGTGGTGTCATCATGACAACAGAAAAAAATATTGGAACTAAGAAAATATGCAAAATTGCAGCCTATTGGAACCATAACTAGCATCTAAGATTCTACACAAAAGGTCTATTTGAATGTGTTTGTAGTCCGTTATCATACATGCTTGTATTGATAAGACATGCCTCTCTTTAAGTTTTAAAAGACTTCAATCACATGTGCTAGAGATTACTGAAAATTAGTGGAGAATTATCTGGCATAAACAGGTATTAAAGTTGGAGAATGAGTTTCTTAGAGGGGAAAAAAAGTTCTTTATGACTTTGTTTGTTTGGCAGAAAACAACTTCCAATAGTAAAAACAATTCTGGAAAATCTATTTTCTAGGAAGTTTTTCAAAGAAAATATTTTCTGATATTTGGCAATTATATGAAAAAATCGTTGAAAAATATATTTCAGCATTTATTTAATACAAAAAATTGAAATACAAAAACAGGCAACGAGTTTTAAGAGAATTTCAACAAGGCTTATTCACATTATAAAAATTGTTAAAAGATCTCACATATAAAAAGCTACCAAAATAGAGTATATGAGTTACTTATATGTTGGTGTATCAAAACAGAAAACATCAGTTATATTCAACCATCCAGAAAATAATAAAACATACAACGTCCATAATAATAACTACAAAGATAACTGCAAAGATTCAACATCCAAAAAACATAAAAACTATCTACAAAATCCATACTCCTACAAATCCAAGTATATAATTGCAAAGCCACACATAACAATAATAGATCTAGTCATTGTTAGCACCTCATGTAGATGATCCACCATGTTCTTTGACGAACTTTTCAATCCAAAGCTTCCTATGTTGTTCATTTCTCGCCATAAAAGTCTCTGTCAACCTTTCATTCTACACCAAGTAATCAAAGAAATTTTTCAAACTGTCATCATCAAAATCAATAATCTTCATCACCATATTATAAAGCTCATCTATATCAATTTCGTTTTTGGTTAAAACATCAATTGCTTTAGCCACTTTTCTCATTGTCTTAACTAAAACAGATATAATCAATTTTTTAGTTTTATGGCCTCTTTTTCGGTGGCTTCTCTTTTCAGAAAGCATACTAGTTGATGATGCTTCTCTTCCTTTTGCCTATCTCAACTTCATCTGGTGTTGTAGATTCCATTTGAGAGCTCTCAGCCAAGTTGATATCATTAAAGGACTTGACAAAACTTCCTGTGGCCATATCTTTTTCAGCAACAAGTGCCATCTTATTGTATATCTTAATTTTCTTGTTTTAGGTATTTCTCATGATTAGGATGTGTCTATATACTGAAAGAAATTAGAGAACACTTTATAAATTTAGAAAAATAAGTTGAGAAATTGAAAAAAGATTTTATAATATTATTATTATCACTTCATCATAAACTTTTTTTGAGACAGTTATCATTTTCAACTCATCATTCCATCCAAAACCACTTTTCTCTTGCAGCTATGTGATAATCTTTCATTCTTGTTTTATTGTCTTTAAATGATTTTTAGCATGATCAGGGCAACAATCTAATCCAAATTTCAAGTTGACTTCTCTTGCTACACGTGCAAAGCTGTCTTGGTTGAAAGTAGAAGAAGGTTTATTCCCTTTCACAGCCTTCTCAGCCAAAATCTCAAGCAACATATGCGACATAGGTTTTGTCCACCTAAGCTGTTCGGCTTTAGCTTTTTTTTGCTTTGTGTTGCTCATTTCTACAAGCATTGCCAATAAACAGAATTTTCAAAAAGTAAAAACAAGAGAAGTAGTCAACTAACATCATCACTTTTCTCTTGTTTTTTCTGTCTTGCCATTTGGAGTTTATTGAATGAGGAGGTGGTGAAAGGGAATAAACTGAGGCTGTGAAAGGGAATAAATCTTCATCCATTTTCAAACAAGATAGCTTTGGACATGTAATAAGAGAAGTCAACTCATTTCTATAGCATTGCCAATAAACAGAATTTCAAAAAGTAAAAACAAGAGAAATAGTCAATTAACACCATCACTTTTCTCTTGTTTTTTCTATCTTGCCATTTGGAGGTGCTAACAATGGCTGGATCTATTATTATTATGTGTGGCTTTGCTATTATATACTTGGATTCGTAGGAGTATGGATTTTGTAGATAGTTTTTATGTTTTTTGGATGTTGGATCTTAGCAGCTATCTTTATAGTTATTATTATGGATGTTGGATGTATTATTGTTTTCTGGATGGTTGATTATAATTGATCATTTCTGTTTTGGTACATCAATATATCGTTAACTCATATGCTCTGTTTTTGTAGTTTTTTGTATATAGACTATTATGGATGTGAGATCTTTTAACAATTTTTATATTATGAATATGTCTTGTTGAAGTTTCCTCAAAATTTGTTGATGTAACCATCATAGCCTATTATTATATTTCAGTTTTCTGTATCAAAAAAATGCTGAAATATATTTTTTAGTAGTTTTTTCATGTAATTGTCAAACGCTAGAAAATATTTTTTTGGAAAACAATTTCTTAAAAAATAGATTCTCCAGAATTGCTTTTTCTATTGGAAGTTGTTTTTCGCCAAATAAACGGAGCCTAAGTTTAGAATTTGAACAACAATTGGGTTCTAATTAGTTGATTAACTGCTCTTAAGTTCATAGTATAGCTTATCAATAAGTTCGTTAAGCTTGATTTTCGTACGCTGGAAATTCAGTTCCTAAACTGTTGCGGAATCTTAATAAAAAAACTATGAGATATTCCAGCTTGGGCTACTATGTACTAGCTGAGGTCTGAACTGTTGGTAACGATTAGAATAAACACAAGAAATGTCAACTATGTTATCCAATCTTTTGCTGCTCTTAAAGACTTTTTACACAATCCCAGTTAATAATTTCTTTCCTGACAAATAAATAAGGAATTCATAGAGCCTCCCAAATGTAAATTTTATATTTTACATTTTTATTGTATGATGTCTGTTTTATCTATTCAAGCAATAGTATTTCTCAAGTTGCTTGGCAGTTGGCCTGGTGATTACAACGTATGACAGGCACAGACAACTTAGTGTATTGTACTGTATATGACTTCCTGTATGATTTTTCCATTTCATCTTATTCTGAATCGAGTTGTGTTGTATTGGTAAGATAACATATTTTTCCCTTATTTTGCATGCTTGTGAGTGCATGTGTGGTCAAACTTTGATAATTTCAAATAAGTGCTCTTGGTATTTTATTATTGTTACTTGAAGGTCTTTACTTAATAGTGGTGGCATTGAAGTGGGCCCAGAGAAGATCAGTTTGGAGATGGCCCTAGCCTTCAATGTTTGTGCATATTGTTGTTATTACTATTATTTTTAATCGTGTTGCAATTTTTGCTGAGTAACATGTTCTTGGTGTTTTTTGGAACTTATAGAATAAGGCCACTGGAAAAAAAGAATCTACTCAGGAGAAGAAGAAACCATCTGACAAAGAAGCAGCTGAGAAAGACAAAGAACTAAGTGTCAGTTTACTGAATATTCAAGTTGGCCTGATTCGCAAAGCATGGAAGCATCCCTCTGCTGATAGGTATGCTGACAGTTCCCTTTCTTTAATCTCTGTGTTCGTACTTCATTATACTTTTGAAGGAAAATAATCATGATATTTTTAATTTTGATTTATGATTCAGTTTATTGGTTGAGGAGATAGATGTTGGAGATGCTAAATTGAGGCAGGTAGTTAGTGGTTTGGCGAAGTATTTTAGTCCAGATGAGTTGACGGTATGATTATTTGTAGAGTTTGCTTTAGATAATAAGTCACTTAATTTTTCTCCTGGGTACTGTTCTTTGGGTTGCTTTTATGAAGTTCTGAAGTTTAGTTGCTAATGCATTGGTGTTTGTATCATCTATAAAGAACCGTCGAGTTGCCCTGATAACAAATGTAAAACCTGGAAAGCTACGAGATGTGATGTCGGAAGGCCTGGTAATTTTTGCTTGACATTTTCATTTTAAACAATGCCTTTTATATTCTATGTTAAACTGGATACATGCTTTCAAGATTCTGCTTTTTCATTCTTGATACACTTTGCAAGAAAATAAAAACGGACATATTGATTAGAGTTTACTGTGTCTTGCAAGTACAACTATGAAAATAAAATAACAGTACAATAGTTTGATTGTTGTGCTGTGATGTTTTCTTCTCAAGTGAAAATTATTATGCTCATCAAGCTTATAAAATAGTCTTCTAATTGATTCTCTTGTTCATCTCAAAGCACATACAGCTTACAAAAGTAACGGAAAAATAAATTTAAAAATCTCATTGGTTTGATCATGGAAAAATGCTTGTCATACCAGCTAGTTTGTCTAAAACTTTTAAACAAAGCACTACATGTAATTTCTATGGAACCAGGCTCCAATTGTGAAAAAATATCAATTTTGAATTTGAAATGACCTTTTGCTTCTGCTCTTGCTCCAAGATGATGAGTCCTTAAACATATTTATCCTGACAAATGTTTTTTTTTAATAATTGACGTATTAGTATATTCTGATGATTTGCTTACAATATCTACGTCTATGTTTTGTCATTTCATTAGAATATCCCATTTTTTTAAATTGCAATGACTGAAGAGTGCAGTGACGTCCATATACATGTCTATGATTCCTAATTTTTCAGGTCCTTTGTGCATCTAATGAGGATCACACCATGGTAGAGCCTTTGCTCCCTCCAGAGGGTGCCAAAGTTGGAGAACGTGTGTCATTCTTGGGGTATGCATTCAGAGATTACTTAGAGCTACATCATAGTTGTATTGTTGCTTTGCTGTCTTGAATTACTCATACGGGATAAGAATTTGTGGAACACATTTTAGAAAATGCTATTTGCTTTTCATCATCAACACTAAGTTTCTTTTATCACATAAAAAAAAAAGCTAAGAAAAGCAAAATTAGCTGGTCCGGTACATGTTACCTATGATGTGCCCTTTAAATATATAGTTTGTTGTCACTAAAATATATGGCTATGAAGATTTTACAAATGTCCTGTTGAATTTTACGCCTCATAAACGATTTCTTTTTGGTAATGCTTATTTTTAGTGAAGCAATCTACTATTTTTGTTTTCTGATGCAAAGCCTTTTTTTTTGGCAATGTTGTCACTTGGGGTACTGCCACCTTTAATTTGGTGTAAATGTGAATGGGAGCAGACCTATTTAAGCCCACTTTTAATTTGTAAATGTTGGAGTAATTTCATTGCTGCAACTCAGTAGAGAGCTAATGAGGCACACATGTGATTGGGCTAAGAATCATTTTGACTTTGGACAGCCAAAGTGCACCTTTTAAGTGATCAACTGCTGGGCCATTATGATTCTCAAAACTAGGAATAGCGAACTGCAATGCCTAGTGTCAATACATTCACCGGCACACACACACATATATACTGCCGGGCCATTATGATTCTCAAAACTAGGAACAGCGAACTGCAATGCCTAGTGTCAATACACACACACACACACACACACACACACACGCATGAGTTTGGCCTTAACAATCATAGTGTAACCTTTATTTACAGCAAGTTTATTTTTATTTTGCTGGATCTTCTATTATTTTCTCTTGATTTATTTATTTAAAAAATAAATTCTTCTGCTCCAATGAAGTGTTCCTATGTATAAATGTTGAATGTTTTCATGTAGGATTGATGGTAAGCCAGAAGATGTCTTGAACCCAAAAAAGAAGCAGTTAGAGAAAATAACACCGGTATGAGGTTCAAATTTAAGTGTTTTTTTTATAGGTTTATGCTTGTTCTTTATGTTCGGGAAGAATCCCCTTAATATGCACTGCAGCTTAAATTCTTGATAATTTATTAGAATCATGGTTGTGAATGAATTGGTCGTCAGTTGGATGATGCAGTTTTCAGTTTGGTTCTTGCCCATTGCGAAAAGGTTCAATTAATTACATGATGTGATGCTTGATACCCCATTCCTGATGAAATATAAGAAATGTACCGACCATATTTTCTTTCCCATGGATGTGAAAAATGTTTTGCACCAGCTAGTGATGACTATAGAATAGATAGAACTTGTCTTTGCTTTTATATGGTTTCAGAACCACTAGAAGTTTCAAGTCAAGTTTTTGGGTTACCTTGAAAGAGCTGATTGGACAGTTCTGGTGTATGGTTGAACTGGGTTGTCATACCTTGCCATTAATGTTGTGGTCATCTGTTATGCAATTATTGCCTTTCCTTAAAGTTTGTTATATGAATCCTGATAGTGTATCAATATTTGATCATGGGTGTTTCATGGGCGCAGAATCTTTTCACTGATGACAAGGGCGTGGCCACATTTAAGGGAATACCATTTATGACATCTGGTGGGCCGTGTACATCATCCATTCCAAAGGCAAGCATCAAATGATTTTGGACCTTAAAAACCACTCGGCATACTACTTAGAGGTTCTATCTAAATTTTATGAGAACAAACACTTGTAAACTGTCATTAAGTTTTTAAAAATATTTAACAAACGCTTGATTTAAGAGAGATTTTGATGTTGTGACTCGTGAGTAATGGATATATTGTTGAACTGCTGCTATTTTTGTGGCCCAATGAGCAAACCGCTTTAAATTTTTTTCCGGTCTTCCATCTTTTTTTGTGCAATATATTGGATTGGATTCTATAAAACGGCCAACCATTATTGATGGTTCATCAACTCCTATTTGCTTCTTGGCTGGGAATGGATACTAGAAGACAAAAGCCATGCAAATCTGTTTTGCAGATTGGCTTACCAATGTGCCCACAACGATGGATGCATGCAGAGAACGGCCACCACACCAGTGGGTACTAGTCAATTATTTGTTGGTGTCAAGGGTTTATTTTAACATAACTCCACTCGAGGCAGTATATTTCCTTGGGACAGGAGGCCATACATGGGTCACACGCCACATGGTTTGGATCCAATGCTACAAGTCCAAACGAAATACCTTATTATCAATTTTCTTTGCAAGATAAAAAGACCACCACCACCACCCTGTGGTGAAAACATGTTATTCCAAGGAATGAAAAAAGCTAACTAGAAGCAATTAAGAAATGAAAAAACTAATCAGAATGTTTGCGTGTTGAATTCAGTTTCCATTACCTAAAGATCGATTTAGAATCTTGGCTGAAACATCATTGATTTGGTTTGATGATGTTGTTCCAAGGAATGTTAAAGAGTAGTGAATGGGCAAGAACGAGAGAGTACCCTTGTGCCTTGGCTACATAGTAAAAGCCAATTAAGAGAAGAAAACGTGCATGGCTAATGGCTTGGCGATAAAAGGAAAGGCCACGCAAGGGGGACGTGTTAGGATTTAGCTACGATCGAGATCGAACTAGAACTGGGTGCGAAATCAGAGGAGGTGATTTATTTTATTTTGTCTGGTTGTCACTGTGTATCAGCAAAGCGAGATAAGCATATATACATATATATACAGAGAGAGAGAGAGAGAGAGAGAGTCGCATTAGATTTTGTTCTTAATACTAATCCCTTATTAGGAGGGAGAGAGAGAGAATCACATTAGATTTTGTTCTTAAAGTAATCCCTAATTAACAAAGGCTCTGACTCTCCATATATGATCCGTACTACTCTCCATGATCAAACTAGAAAGATTCTGTTCTCATAAAAAAAATAATAATAAAAAAAGCACACATTTTTATAGTCTAAAATCAATACTCTGCGTATCTGTCACTTGTGAGACGGAGAATTTGTATAGTGAAGAAATTGGATCTTCCAGGCAAAGCTTTGATCTGGTAAACCAATCTGAAAATCATTTCATATCATACAGGATCACCCATTATATATATATATATATAGTAGATCTTAGGGTAATAATTATATCAATGTGTCATTTTCTTTTTAATAAAATCTTCCTTTTTAAATTGCAAATTGCATGACTTTTTATATTTATTTATTTATTTATGAAAATGTATTTTTCTTATTATCTTACGCGTCAATTAAAATTAAATCTATTTGATAAATAATTTTAAAAATAAATTTTATATTGATATGATGCATTAAAAAAAATTAATTAGATCAGAATCAAATGATATAATTTTTTTAGTTATCACAATCATGAAACAAATTTAATTTTGTAATGTAGGATAACCCTAACCTAGCCCCTTCTCTGAAAGAATAACATGATCATTAAATAGTTGTAATCAAGAAGCTTCAACATATTTCTTCACCTAGCTCGGATATTCAGAAGATGAAGAATCAAGAATGATGATATCTGTCCTTAATTACTAGCTGAAACACCCTAGAGAGAGTCAAGCGTATCTTTAATTCATTACACAAAAATCAAAGCAATGTTTTCGAATGTTGATTTTTGACCTTGTTGCGTGGTCCAAAATCCATGAAATACCCCACTGGGTGGGTGCTACAAGGCAGAGTGAAGAAGATCTTGTAGAAAGGATACTCATAGATATTGATACTGATACTGATTCTGTAAGAGACTGAAAGAGAAGTACGTACCGATGATGTGATATGGGGTTAGGATAACGGAGACTAACTGAATCAAATCAACAGAAACCCGAAAAGGATCACGAAATATCTGTGATCTACTTCGATATTATCCCCCATCTTTCTATCAATATTAATATCATAATATATAGTTTTTTTCTTTTATAAAATTTCTCTAAATCTACTCACCTAACGACTTATTTCACATTCATTGTGTCGTGGCTTCTCATTCTCACTATAAATACGCATGTCATAAAACGTTCATACAGCTCTTGTGAGTTTGTTTCTTCTATGTTGTTTTGCTCTAGTCTTGTCTTTGTGTTAATTAATAGTTGCAAGCACAGCTTTTATTACAGTTTCTTTCAGTTACTCATACATAGGCCTCCTCCCCCTCTTGTTCTTATTGTTGTTGTCTTTTAGATTTACTACTGCAACTTCTACATCGAGAGAAAAAAGGTTGAGGAATATGGAGGGTGATGGTGGATCAAAGCTGGAGAATGCGATGATGGAGGAATATGGGGACGAACCGCATGTTTTAGCTGTTGATGACAATCTCATCGATCGAAAACTAGTGGAAAGATTGCTTAAGAACTCTTCATGCAAAGGTAAAATCATCTCCTCCCTCTGGGCTTCCTATTTTTCTGTTTTATTAATTTTATTTTTGGGTTATTGCCATCTTCTTTGCCTTATATACGCGTAGACAAAAGGAGAATCTATTTCCACAAATTGTATATCTAATATCAGAGTATGGTTTAACAAGAAAACATATATATATATATATATATGCCATAAATGTAGACTCGTGCACTGAAATAGTACCGCAAACCAAGATGTGACGGTGGGGAGATTGAATTGATACTATATTTTCTACTTGTCATTGTAAAATTAGATTTTGTATTCTGTAGTATAATTGGCCATAATATTAGTGCAAGATGGTGCAGCTATGTCGTCGTTTTAGTACTCTTTTCTCTCATTTCATTTGATTTGCTGCAGTGACTACTGCGGAGAATGGGCTGAGGGCATTGGAGTATTTGGGGTTGGGAGATGAGAACAAAGCTACCTTAGAGGACAGAGTAAGTTACTAGATATTGGTCTAAGCAATCTTTCCACCAGTTTAATAATCACAGATTATAATGAATGGGATGTATTATAATGGCTTGTCTTCATGTTTATCTAACAGGTCTCAAAGGTGAATTTAATAATCACAGATTATTGTATGCCAGGAATGACAGGGTATGAGCTGCTCAAGAAAATAAAGGTATCCATCCTTATTCCTTATACTAGTTTGTTTGATTGGTGCTCGGTGAGGTCCAGTAAGTGACAAATTAATTGCTGAGCACATATTATTAACATGTTTGCTTTGCTTGTAACAAGCAGGAATCATCAATTCTGAAGGAGGTTCCAGTTGTGATTATGTCATCTGAGAACATCCCAACTCGCATTAACAAGTAAGAAACTGATGAATGTTTTGTGAAAAATCTTTTTTTTAATTTCTTTAATGATTTCTCATTTTAAGGGCTTTATATTCGGTGTGCAATACAGGTGCTTAGAGGAAGGAGCTCAGAAGTTCATGCTAAAGCCCCTCAAACAATCAGATGTGGTGGAATTGAGATGTAATTTGATGAAGTGCAGAAGCTAAATATGTTAATTCTGGATTTTTGAAAAAGCTTTCATCAAGAATATTAATTACTATTAGGGAGGGGGAGAGTGAGCAATCCTCTGCAACCCTACATTTTGTCATTACCAGACTAGATCAACTTGACTTTGATTTTGTTCCAAGTTACACTGACTTCTGCTTTAACAAAATACTTGTTGCTTTTTGGACTTTACACTGCGTACTTTCAATGCCTTCCTTTACTTTTCTGCTATGGTTAGATCAGCTCTGCCCTTTCAGGCCAATCCTATTTTTCAGGCAGCGTTTTTAGATTTAACCTCTCTGATTCGTGATTCATGAAATGATGGCTTAGTTTTAAGTTTTCACTTCTGGGGCTGACCAAGCAAAAGTACAAACACTAACTGTGTCTTAGATTTGCACCAAAATTAACTAGCCTGTTAGCCTCCCTTAAACATGCTTAATGGTCAAATCTGGTAAGACTTTCAACCAGCCACTCCAGAACTCTCAAACGGAGAAGCTCTCCAGCTTTTGCATTATACCTCTTCTTTTTATAACACAACTCACAGTAGTCTATGTCCTTTGTTTTTTTTTTTTTTTCAAATCTTTGTCGATTTTTTTTTATTATACCATCTTATACAGCTAACCTATTCATCCTTTCATACAATATATAAATAATTTTCTTTAAAATTGTATATAAATATATAACATATACTATAAAAATTATTTTATTTAAAATCATAATAGTATCTAACATGATAAAGAAAATTTAATATATGCATCACGTGTATACATAATTGCACATATAATTTTAAATAAAGCTATTTTATGACAATAAATTATTATTTTTTAATTATATTTCATTCTACTTAAAAAAATCTTTTTAATTATCACTTTATTAAAACACATTTTGTGTGAACATTCAAAATAATTTATACCTTTTTGCTAACCATATCTTCAACCACACTTTTAACCAACCACATTTTTTTCCGATTACAACTACGGTTACAACCACGATCGGTTCTTAATGCCGGACACATACTTAGTTTAGCACCCATAATTCCGTCTTGATTATTATTATTATTATTTTGAAAATGCAAGTGTTTTGGAAATTTTTGAAAAACGAGATAAATGCAAAATTCTATAATTCATGGGAAGCCTTTTCACAAGACAGACCCAATAAGAAGGACCCGATGATAGGGAGCCTTTTTTCCAGTGCAATCCGACAAAATGAGTCCATAAACTCCTAATTCTCAACGCTCGCCGGGTCCAATCAAGACCCACAACTTACCGAGAGAGATTAGCCCATTAAGTGGAGCTGGAGCTTTCAAAAACTTCCCGGCGAGGACCATCCCCCGAGAAAAATTTGAAATCCTCTTAACCACAACAACAACAACAACAACAACAACCCCCCCCCCCCCCCCCCAAAAAAAAAAAAAAAAAAAAAAAGTTACACACTTTCACCAAAAGAAAAAGTATTTAATAAAAAATTTTATGATGACAATAATCAAATCATCATTCATCGTAATTAAATATAATGATGACAAAGCATCAATACTTATCCACTCTTCCACTAATCTTAAGAAATAAAAAACATTTCTACCCTCTTCACCATACAAAAGCCTCTCATTAAAAAAAAGGCATTCTACCTTCTTCACCATGCAAAAACCTCTCATTAAAAGACATTTTACCCTCTTTATATAAAGGGAAGAGCTCGCACAAAAAGAAGAGAAAAGAGTAGACATTGACATCGAACTTCAAACGAGTTCCAAAAACATTTTTAAAAATAGGTTCATCTTGTACATTTCCCTCTTATTTTCTAAATTATATACAAACTAATATGCATTAGCACAAAAAAGCCTTTTCAAATCAATTCATTACCTTTTGATTACTAACTTGAGCGCTAAAGGGTCTTCTATTCAATAAAAAAAGACTTATTTTACAAGTACACAGTGCAATAGGACTCCTCATCATGCTCCATTATCACTCGATAACCATCACCACCATTTTGAACCACATATCTTAAATTTATTAGTTTAGTTATCCAATGAATCATCGCTGACACCTTTTTTGGGGATCTAAAAAAAGCAAGTTAGATTCCTCATATCTATATAATCTTGATCTCAAAAGTGTCTCCAAGTTCATGTATGGAGAAACAAATGAAAGTTCTTAAACATACTCCTTTTGGCCTTCCTAGTCTCAAAACCTATCCTTTAGATATCATCTAACTACATCAATATGTTCGGAATCTCACAAAGATATTCATAGCAACTTAAGCACAAATCAAGATGCTTGGCTAATTTCCCTAAATTTACGTACGCCCTCTGTCTTTAAATACTTCAATGCCACCGTGTATTATACCTCGTATAGAAAAAACCATATCCTCTCCCTTCACGGACCAACAAGGCCTATGCACGCTAGATGAGGCTTAGAAAGGACACATTTGTGCTAAAAATAGGGAACGAGTTCATCATGTATCTCTAAAATCCCCCAAAAGTTATGCATATCACGTGAGAAAAGAACTAGTAACGTAGAGATCTCGTAGGGAAAAATAGAGGGAAAAAGATATGAATGTCACCATAATGCTAAAAAAAAAAACTTAACGAGTGCTAAAAGATATCAAGAAAAGCATCATCGATGCTCTTTCTAGTTAGAAATATTATTTATAAGTCTAGAGTTCAAGTTCCATCATGTAAAAAAAGAGGTTTGAAGTCACCTCTCCCTCATGCACATATCACTACGAGTATAATGTCATGAACTTAGCCTTTTCAAGCTTTTGTGTGGCACTTGTTCACTTATTTTATAAGCCAAACCAAGTCGACCTTCTCTACACAAAGTTGTTAAGCGCAAAAGACACATAAAAGAGATATAAAAACTTTTTGTATTACTCTCTCTAAAGCTTATAACTCTAAGATTACACATCCTTAGATTGTTGGCTATCTTGGCTAAATGAAGTCTCACTTATTTATAGTCTTTCACCTCCTCGGTGGATGGTTAGGATCTATTTGATCTAATAGTTATAATTGATTCTCTATAATTTTCCTATCTAGATATGTACAAGTTAGAATAATGAGGATCTCTCTAGAATTCTCTAGTCTAGATTTCTCTTAGACATCTTAAAGGCTTCTCTATTGCTCTATAGTCTTCTAGAGGCTTTTAGACTTATCTAGCGTTTTCAATAACCTTCGGAAAAATCCCTTTTTGAGAAAGATGTAACATTCTTCCTCACTTAATTTGGCAATCTCCTCGGTGTGCCTTCATTATATTCTTGGACCTTCCATGCGAATTACCACAAGGCTTTAACGGGTTTTTAACTAGTCTTACTTTCCGGTAATCCGTTCCTTTGTGGCACTCCACGACGTCTAATTGTGTGGTCATCAAGTATGATATCAACTTCTTTGTCATACGAGTCAATTACTACCGTAGGCACCTTGTGAGAAACTCCTTAGCTTGGATCCTCCTCACCGGTATGATATAGCTTCAGCATACTAACATGAAACACCAAATGGATCTTCGACTTTAGTGGTAACTCTAGATGATACGATACCTCTTTTATCTTATGCACTACCTTAAATGATCCTTCATATCGACATATGAGGCCTTTGTGCACCTTCTAAAATGTCTTATGTTATTGTGATAACAATTTTACCATCATTTTATCACCTGGTTAGAAAGAGATATATCTTTATTTCTTATCGCGACCACTTTTTTTATCTTCTTAGCTGACCATGTTTAAATACATTCACATCAAGTCCATCTCGCTCTTATCATTTTTTGGCTAACGAATATGCACTTGGGTTGCTTTTTGATACTTGTCACCAAGCACCATCATATGTGGAGTGAGAGGTTGCCGGTCCCTCGTGATCTCGAATGAACTCCTGCTAGTAGACTCACTCTTTTGCAAGTTGTAAGAACATCCGAGTAACTTAGCCTAATCTTTTTGGTTGGCACTCACAAAATGCCTCAAATATGTCTTCAATAAAGCATTTGCCCATCTATTTGAGGGTGAAAACTCATGGAGTAATGCGACTTCGAACCTAACAAGTCGAATAGCTTAGTCCATAGCTTTCTAGTAAGTTAAAGATCTCAATCATTGATTATATATCATGACATGCCCCAATACTTCACTATATGCTTGAAAAGTAGCTTAGTAGTGTTTTCGATCATCACATCTACTAAGACTAGTATGAAAGTAGCATACTCGGAGAACTTATCTATGACTATGATAATGCTTTCAAAGTTCTTTGATTTTGATAAAACCACTATGTAATCCATGGTGATTGTCTCTCATGGTCTATTTATGATAGGCAAACGCTATAATAGCCTTTAGGCACTCGATTTTCAACCTTGTCTTGTTGACACACTATGCATATTCACACATAAGACTCCATATCATCGCATAACTATGATAAAAAATATGCTCCATCCAACAAGGTTTTAGTACAATGTTGTCTTAGATGTGTAGCCTACATCGAGTCATGACATTTCTTCATCAAATCTCATCAAAGGTTTCCTCATTTAGGCGTATAAATTCTCCTCCCTTTTGTGTAGAGAATGCCATCCTTCATCCAAAATCTTCGAATTTTGCCCTCTCTTGTAAGGGCTAACAAACTCTTATTAATGGGATCATGCTCTATGTCTTACTTAATTCTAGCCATGATCTCCCGATCCACCTTCATCATGTGATGCAACTTAGCCTTTTCACTAAGTACATCGGCCACCACATTGGTCTTGTCTAGCTTGTACTTAAAAACATAGTCAAATTCAATAAGAAAATCTTATCATTTGGCCTATTTCGGCGTTAACTTTTTTTGAGTTTGGAAGTAACTTGTGGCTACATTGTTTTTCTTCACCATAAATCGAGACCCTAACAAGTAGTGTCTTCAAGTACACAAGCAATGTACCACTATGGTCATCTCTTTCTCTTGTATCGAATATCGACGTTTAATGTCATTTAGCTTTCTCCTCTTATAAGTTATAGGATGTTTTTCCTACATTAATATACCACTTATAGCAAAATCAAAAGT